CTTTTCCAATCCTGCAGCTCAGTGTTAGTCTGCCTTTCTCATTCACTCTCTAGCATCTCATAACTTCCTGGGGTCACCCACCACGCAGGACGATAGTTCTTTTTTTGTGCGCTTGACTTGCCTGGATGCCGAGACCCTCTGCTCAGAGGCTCTGCCTTAAGCTCCTGTATCCCTGCTTCTGCTGCAGCTCCTCACACAGTAAGACGTCCCTAATTAGATGCTCAATGAATAGCTGTACTTCGATTTGAAAATCAACTTTGTGTTAAGGAAATTTGAGATGATTCACTTCTATTTTAGTAGCTAACACATGTTATGAGTCACTCTTTGAATTATTGATAGGATAGATTTTTTTGAGAGGAAAAAGCTGCTTTTCTTACTTTCTTAATCTAGCCACTAGACAGATTCCTTAAATCCTCAGAATACTGGCCCCATGCAGTAGCTTGCTGGCATCCTAGAGACTGCGGGCTGTTCTGTTTCTGCTCAGTCTTCCATAGCATCAAGTGAATTTTTCATATGGATGGAATTTCTTGGTGCCTTAAATTTTTATATTATTTCAGTGGCTGGCAATGCTGCTAAGGGTAGGACCCAAACAAAACCAGCTCCCTGGTCCTGTGTGATACTGGGAATCTGAGATGGGGGGCAGTAAAGCCCTTGGTTTAATAGAAATTGATAACCAGTGCTTTATAGTCAACTGCACACTACTTCACATTGTCTGGGAAACTGGTCTTTTCACCAAAACCTACAGCGTATCCAGCAAGGAAGCCAGCTGTGCAGGGATGGGTGCCCAGGGCGGGGGCTTGACCTCTACATTTGTTATCCTGGCCTCTTGGACAGCTGCACCCAAAAGGAGCAAAGGCCTGTGTGTGAAATTCTAACCAGGAGTTTTCAGGGAAACCAGAGATTCCTAGTCTGTATTAAAGCCTTCGGGGTAATCTTGGGACAGAAAGTAGAAGTTGAAAATATCAGGTGAGGAAGCAAGGGAGGGCAGTCCAGGACCATCCCAAGCCTGGGCTGTTCAGAGGATCCTTTTGGTACAGTTCTAGCCCTGTAGTATGTGGTGGGTTGGTTGGTTTAAAGCTCTCTGTGGGACTTGGAGCAAAACTGTTAAACTCGAAGAGTTTCTGACTCGTTAAGTGGTATTTGGGCTGGATAACTTCCAAGTTTCAGTCTGGTGTAACATGCTCTAACTTTGCTTCATTTTATGACTTTGATAGCATTTAATGCTTATGTTTTTAATTTGCATTTTTATATTTTGACATCTTTCTCTAACTGATGTTAGAGCATCATTCTGATACCTACATATCCATGATACAAGCTAATGATGCTAAATTAACTTTTGCAGTCATTTTGGTGTAGTTCACAGTAGTTTGGTTTTAAATTACAGTTTTAATTTTCAAATTACATTCAGTTGATATTGTGCAAAGCCAATAAAAATGTTCAAGCCAGGAAATAATTGTCTTTCATAAAAGTACAAATATGCCAATGTTTAGTTCATTATTTAATGATAGCATTTTTGGCTTGCTCTTCTAGCAAAGATGTGTTCTGGAGTAAGAAAGGAGCCCCCACTTTCGGGGTGTGTGTCAGAGGGTGGTGGCAAAGGGTAAGGGCCCCAGAGATGGGTTCCCAGGATCACATCCCGAGTCACCCCTTGCTAACTCTTGCTAACTCTTGACTCGGGGTACACCACATAACCTCCCTAAATATTAGCTTCCTCATTTGCAAAATGAGGATCAACCTTACAGGGACATTGTAAAGATGAAATAAGATGTACATTTTAAGTTCTCTGTTCTGTGCTGGGGCGTGCGCATGCTCTATCCATGTGAATTCTGCTGAAGGGGAAATGTTTAGAAATACGGTATTTTGAGGCAAAGAATTTTTTGTATCCACACATGTTGGCATATACTTTGGAGTCCCGAGAATTTCAAATCAGTAATCCAAGTGATGGCTGCCACAGAGTTGATGTTTTATTTTCAGTAGCATCTTTCCAGTTAAGTATGTTTTGTGTCCTTGGTTTGGTTTATTTACTTTCTGGGTATAAGTAGGGGAATTGGGGTAATAAGGTACCATCATCAGTCAAAAGCTATCTTTTTAATTCTCTGAGCAAGAGCACTGTGCTAGCTACAAAAACAGACAGGTCAGGGTGCTGCCGGGAAAGGGGACAGTGGGAAGCAAACTAAGAAATGGGAGTTATCACTGCTCTTAGGGATTTAATGATCTAGTTGGAAAGATCCGGGGCATGCAAAGTACACAGGTTTCCTTTGGGTGTTGGGGTAATCCATTAAGTTAATTGTCTGTTTTTACTAGCCCCCATTACTCATGAAATAGCATTGTGTTGGGCCTTTCAAATCTGCACACATACCTACCCAGGAAATCCTCCTGCCAGCACGAAGCTAAGCTGGGCTGTGCCCCTTGATAACACACCTTTAGTCAGCTGCATTTCCAGCTCGTTAATGCAGGGCTTTGTTGCAAGGCTGCCATGAATCCCATCTGCCCTGAATCCTAATTATGAACACCTCCTTGGCAGCCTGGGCTTCTCTGGGCTCTAGGGATCCTGGCTCAATTCGCCTCACCGTCTAGATAAAGATCTCTGGAGTCTGTCTGTGGAAAGGAAGGTGGAAGGAAGAGTGGCAGAGGCTGTCTTTGTCTGGAACAGTGGCCTTCCTGCCATCACCGCTCCTCACAGGGATGCGGACAAGAACTTAGGCAGCGACAGTGAGCACAGAGCCGGTTCTGCCCTGGGTGCACATCTGTTCTCTGACTGCGGACCCTTCCCTTCCTCACCACCTGCCCTCCTCCCTGCTTCCCCCACCCCCAGTGCTGTGCTTCTCAGCAAGGTGGTCCTTTTCTTGAAGCAGCTCTCACTAATGCATTTTTCTCTCCTCCTGCAGGGGAGTTGCTGAGTCAGCCCAGACCGGAAGGAGTGGCAGAGATCATTTGTCCCAAGAACGGCAGCGAGCGGGTGAATGTTGCCTTGGTGTACCCACCCACACCGACTGTGATCAGCCCCTGTTCCAAGTGAGTTCCGGACGCGCTCGCCCCTGTCCCGTACTCCTGAGCCCGCCTCAGCAGTTGTGATACCAAAAAGCCGAGTGACAGTACCTTCCTCAAACCTTGAAAACTTCCCCTAGGGCAGACCTGGTACCCACCTGCCATCAACACCAAGGCTTAAGAGAACTTCCATTTTTTTCTTGTTTGTAATTTATTTTTACTTTTGCTGGTAAAAGTCAGACCATTTTAAATAGCTTTCTTGAGATATTATTATTTACATGTCATACAGTTTACTCATTTAAAGTGCGTGATGCATTGCTTTTTAGTATATTTGCAGGTAGATGCAACCTAAAAGAGCAGTTTTATTTTTGATGGATAGTCTCAATTCTGTCGTTGTAGAATTAAGTGGGCCATCGCTTCAGAAAACAGTGAGGGCCTCTTAATAAGAAAAGCTGGCAGAAGAATCTCTAGTAGATCTTTTTTTCCTGTGGGTCTTTGATTCTCTATCAGTTCCTGATAATCAGAGGCTGCGAAGTTTGCTCCCACCTTCCCCAAAATGGACTTAGAGACATAGAATGTACACACGTGAACTCACTTTTGCATACAATGTTAGCCTAGTATTAAACTCAAACTGAGATAATAAACAGGAAAACTCATCTGTTTGGGTTTTTTTTTGGTTTGGATTTTTATTTTTGGTAGTGTTAAGAACTGAACAGGCCACTTTTAAACTGAGATGAAATACCTTTTTGGGGGCAAATCTTGAAAAGTAGCAGTCCCAGGTCTCCCTGGAGATCTCGTTACCTGGGTGAGATCAGCAAGGTGGCTTATACTGCAAAGTATGCATTGCAGGAAACTTCCATTTTTCTTCCTAGTTGACCACAAATAATTTTTTTTTTCATATCTAAGCTTTTTATAGGGAGGTTGGGAAGTTCACATTTGAGAATGGTGACCTGTCATCGCATCTTGAGAAACTTGCTATCAGGCTGCATTCCTGCGAGCTGTGTGTGATAAAGCTCATGCCTCCGCCCCTCAAGTGTCAGCTTTCCTGCCTTTGGCATGCTCTCTGCAGAGGCTTTCTCATTCATTAGCAGCTGCTCCTTTTCTCCAAACCGGGTGACTCCTTAGACAGAACAACTCTAATCCATCTTTGCTGGAAAATATCACTGAACACCCGAGGGAACCTCTTCTCTAATGCTCTTCTATTCAGAATGCTTTTTAAGGTAACATGCACATAGTATAATTCATCGCTAATAATGACCCTCTGACATTGTGAAACCTGGAAGTGCTTCTGAGGATTACATAGTAACTTCATATGAACTAGAACATTCCCCTGTGCTGAACATACCAACCAGCAGGAATTTTACCAGTTCTTTGACTTGGTGTACACTGGTCCTTTTCTTTCAGATGTGTGTAAGGTTAGGAAAAAGGGATATTATAGAAACAGTAGGATCTGGAATGGAGGGAAACAGTTGATCCATACGCTTTCCATGGGTGTAGATTTTCCTGAGCCAGGAGAGACTGTAACCTCTTGTTTTGCTGTAGCCACTTGGCATTTAATAGGCGGGATAGATAGAAATAGGAATCAGAATATCCACTTGCACAAGAAACCGCGGTGGCGCCAAGCCAGCGTTTATCGGTGTCTTTTCACGGGCTTCTTGTACTGCCACAGAGAGACATTTATCCCAACCTGCAGAAGTGCTGTCAGCTCCTCTCCCCCAGTTTATCACACCTAAAATGAACAAGCAGCTTTCAAGTCTTGGGTAATCGGAGCCACACGGCCTGAGACATCTAGATTCTGGAGGGAACACGTTTAGGGACTGAACTACTTTTGACCTAGCTCTGTGAATAGTTTTATTTTGAAATGGATTTAAAAAAAAAAAGAAAGGTCTCACACAATGGGTGGCAGGTGTAGAGGGTAAGTCTCAATTCTAAATGAAGGAACATCCTTGAGAACAAATCGAAAACGGGCCCAGCGCAGCCCAGTGGAAGCTCAAATTTACAAGTGGCTGGCAATGCATTGGAAGTAGGGGATTTGGGTACCAAAGAGGAAAGCGGCCCCAGGAGGTGGTCATTAGGTCAACACAGCTTGGGTCTGAGCCTTGAGAGTTTGACTTGGGGTCTCAGCTGGCAGTGGAAATGGGGAGACTGGAGCTATTGCCCTGGCTTTGCGACTCCAGCCCCCGTTGACTTAGGCAAGTCACTGGAAAGTGGCCTTTTACTTCTCTCTCTTCCCCTAAAATGCAGGTCGATGGTCAAGATCAGACTTTCTTGACCAGGCATGTGTATCAGAATTTCCAGGGCCAGGGACTACTCTTTAAGAAAAGAGGAGTGACTCAGATGATTGTCATGTGTGTACCAGACATGCTGCTCTCTCAGATCCCTCTGTGGCCCCAGGGTGGCCTCCCTGGCCAGTGGGCCTCATCTTTGGCTACAGAGCCTCTCTCTAGTCAGTAACCGGTTGTCAGCACTAAGGCAGCATTAATCCATGCTGCGCCAATTGACCCAATCCCTTCCACCCCAGTGTCACCCTTACAGGTGGACATGTAATTTGTTGGTCAACTCAGGAAAGGATTGAGGGTGACAAGGACGAGAGATATTAATAATTATGCCAGGATGACAGGTATTATCTGGAACCATCCCAGGCAAACCAGAATCATCATCCTACTCTTACGTCATTGATCTAGATCGTACAGTGGTTTTTAAACAGGCATTTCATGCTCTGCTTTGACCAGTTTACTCCTTTCCTTTTTAGGTCAAATCAGAGACTTGTCATTAATGGCCTGCCTTTGACCACATATAAAATAATGATGCTACTATGCACTTTCTAAAGAGAAACCATTGATGACTTACTTGATTGGATCTTTCTTATACATTCCAAGTTTTTCTATTTCTCATTTTTAAAAATTTAAAAAATTTTAAATACCCTACGGAGAGTGACAGAATAAAAGAGTAGGTAGCAATTTTTTAAAAAAAGAGCAAACCTGACTTACCCTTATAGTCTCCTTGACTGATAGTGAGCTCTCTACCAGCATTCCATCGGGAAGAAGTTACATGAACTGAATGAAATGCCCGTCCTTCTGCACCTCACCCTCCAGGGAGAAAACTAGCATTTGAGTGGCTTCTTGGCCCTTTTGCTGATTATTGGATAGAAATATGAGTCATTTCCAGGTTTTGGCAATCCTGGGCTGATTTTCAAGGATATTTGCTTTTGAGAGGAGATGAAAACTCATCTAGAAGCAGATTTGCTGGGTTGCTCTGAAATTCTGAACTCCTTATGGATATGGATTGTCTGATACATTTTTTAAACTTTTATTGGGGTGTTACCTTCATCCCATAAAGCCTGCCCATCCAGTGACGATTCACATATTTAGAGAGTTGTGTAACCATCTCCACAATCTCATTTTAGAAATTTCATTTCCATCATTCCAGAGAGAAGTTCCGTGCCCGTATGCAGTCACTTGTGCCTAATAGAACACCTAGTTCCATGCAGTCAGTACGTATTTTTAGTGCTCCTTTCAGGAATGCTTTTGTTGCCTGGTGTGTTGGTATTAAATAGATTTGTGAGTTTTAAAGAAATTCTTATAAACACTAGTTATTCGTGCCTGGCCCAGTTCAGTCTAAAGTTAAAAGGACGCTGACCCTTGGACATTTGGGGTCAGAAGGGACAAAAATACACTTTCAGTGGGAAAAGGAAGGAGAAAGTAGAAGGATAATTTTTTTTACATTTATTTAAAAATTTTTATTTGTGAGTTCTTGACTCCATCCTGTTGCTCTTGGATTGAGACACTTAAAATTCCAGTTTGGAAGGGAAGTGTGAACTTTGGGCAAATGTCAGCTTGCTGTTTGCCTTTCATTTTTAGATACCTTATAAAATATTACTCTTATTTCTGAAGAGATTTATTTCCCTCCTTTACTAATTAAAGCATATTGTCTGAGAAACTGCCGCTTAACTCAACTTCCCTACTGATTTTCATTTTAGACAGAATTCAGCAGGTTAGCGAATGCAAATGTTTTACCTTAAAACGTACTGAAATGCAACCCACAGTCTTCCATGTGGTTTCTTAATGGACCGGTCCTGAACATGCAGGAAAGGGGAATGTGTCATTTTTATTTCCTGATGATTGCCGCTTCTCTTGTAGTGCTACCCTGTCTGTCCGTGGAGTGGTGGAACTGAAGGAGCAAGCTCATTCTGATCTGGGCAGATCATTTGTTACAGAATTAGAAAAAATGGGCTGGTTCGAAAATTGTTGGGCAAAGCTTTCTCCTTTCTGAAAAGTACTACTGCTAATAAAAGACAAGGCTGACACTGCATTTCAAAACTACTCTTTAAACCTGGATTATTGCATATATACTGTAGTTTCTCAATGCAAGCCAACAGCTCAGTAAGGTTCCAATTTCTTACTGTTTGTAAGTATTCTCAAAAGCATAGTGATTACTTTGCACAGGAATTTTGGCAGTTACTTTGTTATGACATAAGGATATTCAAGACCAGTTCAAATAAGCCTTTTGTAAAAAGTAGGATGAAGATTTGGTAGCCTTTATCTCACCAAATAAATATGCGAAGTATGTTTAACTGCACTAAGATCAGTTAGTTTGGACTTGATAAAAAAGTTTTTTAAAGGAATGGATGAATTTGGCTTAATCACAATGGAGACTTAAGTGATCTCAGAATTTTAAAACATGAAGCGTGGGGATGGGATGATATTTCAGAAGGAAGGGAGGCTTGAATGTGGAGGTTGCCTGTCGGGGGTATCACATTGATTTGCATTGATTTGTTTTGCTCTTTGTAAGAGTAAGACAGTTCATTGCCTTGCTACTTTCACAGGCTGGGACAAACAGTGGTTCTTTGATAACTTAGTCTCCCACCAGCCACATTGACACTGGAATTTGTTCCCTCTCTGCTTAGGTATCTCCATACTTTCTTGGACAATTAAGTGGAAAAGATAGTGCTTCTTTCCCTTATGCCATCATTTTTACTGTACCCACTCTGTGACTTTAGGAGCACCAATTTTTAAGGGTAAGTTTCTGGGAAGCAGAGAGGGTTTCTTAAATAGGTAAGGGCTTTCCAAGGACTTGGAGAGTTTAGGGGAAAAAACGGGGAGGATGGGTTTGGGATGAAGAGACTCCATAGAGCAGGGCATTTTAAGATGACAGATCTTTTACTTATGCAGAATCAAGACATCTTTGGGAATTAAGAGTAAAGAAACTGCTTGACTCTTTTGCCTGATTTGCTGTACTGCATGTATCAGTAACCTTTGATCCTTTTTAGAAAAAATAAGCCATTTAAAAAATTTTAATGTTAGGCAAGAATCTATCAGGAAAAGCTCAAGTTGATTAACCCAGCAAATAGCTTTTTAAAAGCAGTGTTTATTTTCTCAAGGCAGTTTGATGGGCTCTGGGGTCAGCATCCTGAGTCTGAATCCTGTGATTTGTTAGTGCTGTGACAGATGCAGGTTTCAGAAGCACTGTGTCATGGGGTTGTTCTGTGTGCATTTAGAGAGACCTTTGCAAGGAAAGCACTTAGCATTATTCCTTACACAGAGTAAGTAGCGCTCAGTAAATTCAGGTGCTGTTATTTCTACTAGAAATATTAGTGCTGTATACTGTAGATGATATAAAGGTAATTTAAAAAGTTTTAAATGCAAATATAGATGTTAGAGTAAAACCCACTCACCGACTTACCTAAGATTGTTTGGCTTCTTAATTGAGGTGCCTGCACAAGGCAGGTGAGTGTGTGCACTCAGCAGGTAAGTGAGCACGTTGGCCCACCTTCCCCTCCACCGCCACAACGGGGTCAAGGTGAGCTACACGGAGATCTGCTGACCAGGCGACCTGCAGACTGAGTAAACCTCGGTCTCTGAGCCCACCCTCCTGGGAGAGAGGAGATGAGTGGGATCAGTCCTTTGGTCCTGTAGTGCCTGTGCCCCCGGTGCCGGGACAGACTCCTACAGTGCAGGAATGGAAAACTAGAGATGTAGTAAGGCCAGCAGGTCTGGAAATGACTGCTGTGCAAAAGCTACTTTATTAGCGCTCCTTAGAAGAGGGGCACGCCATGCCCTGGGGGTGCTGTGCAGTGGGGCACCTGGGCCAGTGAGGTGGCAGATGGAGAGGGCGGAACTGAGGGAGGAGCCTGGGCTGTGGTTTCTGCGGGAAGGTACGGGCAAGGCGGGGTGGGGGGAGGTAGAAGATGGGCCAGTTTTGGAGCACTTCTGCGGGCTCTGGGGCATAGACAGTCACGAGTTGTCTGGAGCCTGGCCCTGGGGTGATTAGGGCAGGTGGATGGTGGCCTGGGGTGTGAGAACCCAATAAAGGAGGTGGGTGGAGGTGTGGGCTTGGGACTTGTGGGTTTGTATTTGAGACACATGCTCACACTTGAGTGGTTTACTGTCTCTGGGAACTAACTGGCTGATTGCTGGGAGGGGCAGTCCCTCCAGGGTGGGCAAGGCCCCAGAGGTCAAAGCATCAGAATACAGAAAATCCAAGACCTGCTTAATACAACATGGTATGGCTTCATTTTCAGCTTGACCTTCTAAATACCTTGAATGCTTTTGCTGGACGCAAGGAAGAGCAGGTTCCGTAACCTGAGAGGGTTCTGGCTCTGAGCACCCACGCTGACCTCTGCCTTCAGCTGCGGGCCTCTTCCCATCGCCCCCCCCGGCCCCTCCCTTGGATGTCCCGTGCACTGCACAGGCGCACGTTATAGTCCTCGTCCCACAGAGCTCTTCATGGTCTGGGCCTCCTGTCCCCGGTGATGGCACAGCTTTGCACCAGCTGCCAAGTTAGGAGTCTGTCCACTCAATACTTCCCTCTCGCTCTTCCACTGAGACCTGGTACCCCTCTTATCAGTGTGTCCTGAATGAGTGCATTTGGCCACTGAACTCTCTCTGGCCCACGCTTTCCTGTCGGTGCAGCTGTCCTGCCAAGATCCCAGCTGGCCTCCTTCTCGCTAGTCTTTGTCCTTGAAACCAGTATGATCTTTCAGTGTCAGACTTTATCACTTCTTTACATATTTAAAAGCCTCGACTGGCTTCTTGGTGGTTATGGGCTTAAGTTCAAAATCCTGGGCACGACCCACAGGGCTTCCCAGTGAGACTGCACCCCACTTCTGACTTGTGACACTCCCTTACTGTGGGAGGGCCAGCCTCACCTGACTTCTGGCTGCTCTCAGTCCACAGCTAGCTGCCACTCCTGCTCTCCTGCCTGATGAAGGCCCATCATCCCCGAGACCCGGGTCATGTGTCACCTCCTCTGAGAAGCCATCCTCAGTCCTGATGTAATCAGACACTCTTCCCTTCATGTCTTCTTCATGTGTCTCATATACCTCTGTTACAGTGATGATCTCACAGTAGCTTGGCTATTTTTTTGCCTGTAACTTTTTCATCACATCTTATTCCTCATCCTTCCGTGGATCTTTGTGGAGTATTTGCTCTCTTAGCCATTGTGCCAAGGGTTGAGGGTACAGAAATAACAGATTCTTAAGAATCTACAAGCCTCCTTGGGGAGAAAGGGAATCAAAGGCAAAGCCAGACAAACTTGTGAGTGTCTACTTCCTATTAAAATGTGATACCTGTGGCGACAGGTATATGGCACAGAGAAGAAAGAACTTTGGCGGGGAGGGGCACAGTTCACTTGTGGAGCGCATGCTTAGAATACACGAGGTCCTGAGATCAATCCCCAGCACCTCCACTTAAAAAAAAAGGAAAGAAAGAACTTTACCAGAAGAATTGGGGAAAATTCCAGGAAGCAGCAGAGGGCAAGTTTACTAAGACAGAGAAACAGTGAGAGGTGGGGAGGGTTGGTGATCGGATAGTTCTTCTCTTTCCCCAAGAGCCCGAATGAGAAAAAATGACATCAGTGTGGAAAAACGTTCAAGCCGGTTTTCCTTTTTCTCCCTTGAACTCTGGACAATTCCCTGGGTGCCCGTGATTACGTACCCTTGTGGTTCTCAGTCTAAAGAGTGGCTCCGGGGAGCAGACAGCCAGACACAACTGTCTGTGTCTCCCAAGGTTTGTTAGACTCAGTGAGAAAAACATTTACACAGCACCTCTCCGCCACGAAGCCACAGCCCGCACGGCCAGAGTTCACTGCTTGGTTGGGACGAGTGTTTTCACACTGCCATCCTCTTCCCACTTAGAGTTATTATATTGTTACTAGACTGTGAGGCAGTTTTCAAAGCTTTCTCTACTGGGAAGTTTACTATATTAATAGATCTTCAAACAGTCTGCACGGCTGAGGGCCACAGAAACGTGACTCTCTCCCCAGGGCCCCAGCTATTCCAGCCTTGCTTTGAGCTGTCAAGCATACTTTGGAGTCAAATAACCCTCTTTAAAGGCCTGGCCCTGTGCTCACTGGTGTGTACCTTCGGAGAAACTATTTAACCTATTGGAGCATTAGCTGCTTTCTTGGTGAATGTACAGCAAGGCGGAGCGCACCTACGGGGTGCCGTGGGTTAAGGACTAGGTGCGGCTCCCGGTGTGTAGTAAGTGCTTAGTAAAAGGAAGGTGCCTGTTCTGGGTGATGGTATTCGCATTATGCTCGGCTGACTCTTCTGTGGACTGAAGTGATCGGTGTCTTAGGTAGACACTAAATTGTCAGTTTCCATAAGAGCAAGCAGCGTTGAGAGAGAGGTGGTGTGGAGGGTGGGGAAGTGGGTCACAAGCCCTTTATGTCTTTATTAAATGTTGCCAAACACTTTTAAAAACATCACATGTTGCACATCATTACAGAAAAGCTGAAGGACAGGGTGGGGGCATGTGACATGTTTTAGTCTAACCATTTTGTCTGAATTGAAGGCCACTTTTGTTTAGTTAGCTGAAGATACAGCAGTTTCATCATTTTACATTCACCCAACTCCATTTTATTTGACAGCCTTTTAAAGTAAAATCATGCTTTTTAGTCCAGTTGCTACTGTATGTTCCTACTCGTTGACGATTAGTGTGTGTCTGTGTGTGTCCATGTGTGTTTCTTGAAAGGAAAAGAGTGTTGTATTTAGAGCTTGGGGATCTTAATCAGAAATCTGGTTACACTGTGGAATTACAATAGGCAGTTACAGCCTACTTAGTCTCGTTCCCTCTTTATGCCTGAACTTCACGTCACAAACAGAAATGTTTGACGAGGTGTCTAGTAAAAAGCCTCCTTCCTTTGTAGGAACGTTAGTTGTCTGACGTTTACCATTGTGTAAGAAGCTCCAGAAGTAGACATGAAAATCTCTGCCAAAAAGATATATCTGATCATATGCTGTTCTTACAATTGAGAGTATCATCTCCTATTCTCCTTTGGTCATTTCTGTGCTTTCTTCTCACCTACCCATGTAGGAAGAATGCTGGTGAAAAGCACAGAAACCAGTGACTTTTATGGCTGTGGAATTTCCGTGGAGATAAGAGCCTCATCGGGACTGAAGCTGGACCATCCTTCGTGCCCGGCACACCCTGCGTCCTCCCGGGCACGTTCCAGGACCTTGCGTGCGTACGTGTGCAGGGTGCTTTCCGGGGAGGAGGCACACCTAGCTTGTAGGTGAGGCGGGAGGGGAGGAGGGGAGGATGGGAGAGAATATGGAGCAAATATTTTACAACCTGAACCTCAGAACTGTGATCCTCCAAGGAGAGCGCTACTTGAAGAAAAGGAAAAAAAAGTCAAATGGCTTCTCAGGGATTTTGTTTTCCATGCACATATAAGCCATAGTTCCAGGAAAGGTGGCAGTATTTAGAGCACTCAGATTTCAGTTCTGTTAAATGTGAAAGAGGGATTGACTGACCATTCATTGCCGTTCCATAACTAGTGTAAAATATGTATATGTTTATCTTTATTTTTATAATATGCAAATACATTTAAATTTATACAGTTTGAAGCTTCTAGCGTTAGCTGACACTGGGTGCAATATTCTGACGAGAACTGTGCCAAGATGGGGCTTTCTTATTTTAGCCTAGGATCTTCTTGTTTATTCTTTATTCTTTAATCCTTTGCAGATTAAAAAAAAGAAAGATATTTCTCTCTCTGCCCACGGATTAAGTGTTAGTTCATAGAGGTTGACACTATCAGTAAGTTGTGCATTTCAGGTCCCCTCCCCTCCTTTTAAATAAAGGTCCCTGCCTGCAAACCGCTAGGCAGGGCAATAGGGTTAGTCCTGTCCTTTGCCCACATATCACTAGTGCTGGGCAGAGTCCTCCTTCCTTCAGGCTTTGTGATGACTGAGTTGTCCCTGGCTGAGAGGCTGATAGGGGCCTGATGTTAGGGTTCGTCAGGGGACGGGGACGAAGGGCTCCATGAATCCATGGAAAAGCGGAGTCTTGCAATAGCTTATGATAATCAGGAGTCTGTTGTGAAGTGTGTGAAGAGCTCTGCTAACAAGTCCTTTGCCCCCCAGAACAGCCTGTGCAGTTTAGCAGGGTGCTCGAAGCCCCCCCGCCCCGGGCTGCCCGGCCCCCAGCCCGGGGGCTGCCCGCCTGGGTGCGCGGCTCCTGGTGCCAGGCTGCTGCCGGGGCCTAGTGAAAGCCTGGTTTTAAAATCTCCACAAGGTGGAACTTAAAAAGCCAACCAACCAAACTGCTCCCTCTCCTACTTCTCATCCAGCCCAGACAGCCTCCTCTACAACAGTAACACATTCTTTTAAGAATGTGAAGGGTTCTTTTTACATCTGCCTCCTCCCGTGTTGACTGAAAATGTGTAAAACTGCTTCTCGCTCGTGGGAAGCAAGAAAAGTGAGTCCGCTGGTATTATTCTTTGACTTCCTTTATCAAGTATTGACTCTTAGAATGGCGCAGTATGTGAAGTCTCCACATATTTTTTAAAAGAAATAACAAAGCAGCAAGTGGCCACAGTGGGGAAAACCATGAATTGATTTTTGTAGATTATTTTGTGCCCCAGGAGTGAACCTCGTTAACTCCAGAACCTCCAGGGAAACACGACTGGACTCTTACACTCCTAAAATCAAATGGGATCAGACTAGTTCTGTACTTTTTAATACTTGAAATAGAATACGACACCTTGAATTGGGATTTCATCTTCTTTTAAACACAGTCACAAGACTCATCTGGTTCATCCTTTGTCACAGTTCTCCTGTGCGTGTGCATGTGCGCGTGGGGGTGTGTGTGTGTGAACTAAATGGTAACATTTAATTGCTTTGGGGGGCAGAAAAGTTTTGATTGGCACTGGACGGTTCCTAAACTGTCAAATTAACTGACTTTGACCAGTCTTCTGAAAAGACAGTTAAGTGTGTGACTTCAGGCTAACTCCCCAGGGGACCGTATTAATGGGGGAAAAAAAGCTCCTTTGGGTGACACATCCTGCAAAGTGTTTGCTATTATGAACATAGATGCCCACATTCTTAATATCTGCTATTTTCTGACAAGTGATGTTTTCTGCTGTCATCTGAACCCTAGAGAAGCAGTGTGAGAGGAAATCTTGGTGTCACATGTATTTTAGCAAGAAGGTCGGCATGATAGAGGGTCATGTGACCAAAAGCAGCTCCAGAAAAGCTTGAGAACTTGCCTCAGGAGGAGGGGAGGGTGGGAGATAGAGAAAACACTCCGCTCTGTAGGAACTGTCTTCATCCATGCAGGAAATTCCATGTTCTCTTTCAACACCTGGGAGGACTCAGCCAGGGAGGCTGACAGGCAATTCGCTCAGCACAAGGGGAACCTTTTCCAACAAAGTCGTCCCCTGCCTCACAAGCAGACGCCCTCCAAGTTTGTTATGGTTTCTATTCCTGCAACGTGTGGTATCAAAACCACTTCCTGGAATTGTAAAAACGCTGCCAGAATAAATGTTTTTCCCCCTTCCAAGAAAAAAAACGACAGTGCTCGTATCTGACACTTGTGCATTGGACTGAATGAATAAAAAGGAAAGGGTTTGGTGTAATTCCTGCTAGGGTGTGTGTTCTTTTTCATGCCACAGTTTGTGAATTGTAATTGTGGTTTCCTATTTAATTGTCATGACCGGGCAGAAATTAAAAAAAAAATTCAAAAAGGTGTAATAAAAATACAAAGAAATGGTTAAGCAATTATATTGCCAGAGTTTAGTTATTTCTGTCTCGTTTTTTGGTTTGTTTGTTTCAATTTTATCAGTTAAGGTATCACAGTATTATATTTTTAGTTCAAAATATTTATTTAAGTTTTGAGCCATGAGAGGTGTACGTGGTGGCAGCACTGTCTGGGGCTTGAGGCCCCAGGAAGAAAACCAAAGAGTCTCCGTTTCAAACTCTGCCTCTGTTTTCAGGCTGGAGATTCGACTCTTGAATATTTATTGTGTCTTAAATCAGAACCTTTTTTTCAGTGATCTGCGCGTGCCTGGCAGAGCTTAGGAACGCAAGGCGAGCCTGCCGTCCCCTCTCCCGGCCTCCCTGCCCGGCTGCGCTGCGGCCCCAGGAGCCGCCCTCCGCTCCGCCCGCACCGCGTGACAGGCGTCCAGCTCCCGGGTTAGTTCCCCCCCATTCCTCCCGCGCCTTCTTTCCTTCCCTCCCGACTTTACTTCTTCCTTTCTTTCCTTCTCTCCTCTCCCTCCTTCTCTTTCTCTCCTTCGCTTGGTCATTCCCTTGCTCCTTCTGTCTCTCCTTATCCCTCCCTCCTTCTCTCCTTCCTTCTCTTTCTCCTATCCTTCCTTCTATCCGTCTCTCTCTCTTTTCTGTGTCTCTTCTCACTCTCTCTCCTTTTCTTCCTCTTCCCTCTCCTTCTCTCTCCTCCTTCATTCCCGCCTCTCCTCTCTCTCCTTCCATCTCTCTCCTCCCTGTCGTCCTTTTCCTCCTTCTCTC